CCCTCCCCTCTCTGTGCGCTCAGTACAAGGCTGGGGCGTGTCTTCTGCAATCCTCCTCTCTTAGCCCCGCCCGGCCCTGAAGGGGTCTCAGGCCTCCGCCACGGACACTGTGGGTGTGCCTGCGGCCCTAGTCAAGGTCCTCTCTGGGCCTCCCACCTTCCCCCCGGTATTGCGGCCCCCTGTGTGGTTGAGTTATCTCCCACACCAGGGTGTGAGCCCCCCAGGGGAGGATCCCACAACACACAGTTCCTCTTTGAATCCCCCCAGTGTGAGCCGGCTTGGGGCCCTCAGGCCAGCTCTCCGGCAGGGTCAAGCGGGCTCAGGGGCACCCCGGTCACCCCTCTCCCAACCAGAAATCAGTCTGGGGTTTTTCCGAACTGAAGGCCACAGAGATGGTATCTGCCTCCCGGAAGCATGGAGATTACCTGGGGCCGAGGCCCCAGGTGTGGTGGAGTGACAGTCTGGCTGGGATCCTCTTCCCTGCCTTCCCGACGGTTGCCGGGGGCTCCCCACGCCACCAGCCCTGCCAGAGTTCCACAGGAGGAGTGGGATTGGTGGCCGCTCCACAGGCCCCGGGGGACCCCCGTGCTGAGGCACACAAGTGGCACGGCTCAGTGAGGAGCCGTGCCAAGTGAAGATGGCTGGCTTGCCCGATCTGCACCGGCCAGCTCCGCTCCGCCGAGAGAAAATGGAGGCAGTGCTGCTGAAGGCGCCTAGCCTGGTGTGGTAAGTGGTGGCCGGGCGGGCCTTTGCCCCCCAAGCGGGGCTGGGCTGGGGGTCACTCACAAAGCTCCCAGAGCTGGGCCACTCACGCGCCTTCCTCTCCATCTCTGCGTCACCACTGCCATCTTTCCTGGCCTTTTTGAAAAATTCCCAAGTTTAAAACTATAGTTTCAGAGGCTGGGAAGTCCAAAGTCCAGGGAACATATCTGGTGATGGTCTCGGTGCTGGTGACAGTGACCCAGGGATCTCACATAACAGAAAATGGCAGAGCAGAGTGAGATAGTTCCTCATGCACTCTCCTTTCAAAGCCCTTCTATATTTCTTGATGAAGTCTCTTTGTCAACAAACACAGATCCTTCAGGAAGAAACTTGTCCCTGTAAGCTCGTTTCTTCAAAGACATGTTGTCCTGGAACCCAGCACCATAGTGAGTCTGAGAGTCTGAAAAGCTTTTGGCTTCAGAGTCCTTCCATGGGACGCCAGCATAAGTACACCACCTCACACGGTGACCAGAAAGTCCACGTGGACCAAGCTTCCAGTTCTCAGTCCTGCTGCTGCTCGGCCCGGCCGTCGGGGAGGGCAGCTGCGCCACGTAGCAGAAATCCAAATAGAATTGTGTTTAAAGAGTTAAAATTTTCAAGTTCTGAGGTAAATTACCAAGTTCTTCTTTTTTTTTACTATTTAACATTCAAATTTTTATTTTATTTTATTTTTATTTTTATTTTTTTATTATTTTTATTTTGTCAATATACAATGTAGTTAGTTATTGT